TTTTTTCCTTTTATGTAATTAACCTCTGTTTTATTGTTAAAGAAAATCAGCAGCCTTGTGAGCCTATGATGGATTCTAACATTTTAGTTGTGTGTTGCATTGTGGAGCTATGGTTAGTGATGCCAGAGGCTTCAACTTTATTTCCACTACCTGGCTGACCCTGAATCTCTCTCTCTCTTACACCTGTCATTGGTATTGTTAGATGGTCAACTCCTGAGATCATAATAAAATTACACCTTCCTTGGCTATCAATTCTGAGGTGGGACTTGAATATGGAGCTTCTGATTCCAGGGCAGGTACAATACCCATTGCGCTACCAGACCTCTAATTACACATCGACAGGATATCATTTAAACTTGACACATAATCCAGGTCTGCATGTTATTTAGTCGAGTTAGACTGAAAAATACAATAATGTGGAGGTATCAGTGTTGAACTGGGATGGATAAAATCAGAAGTCACACGACACCAGGTTATAGTCCATCAGGTTCATTTGAAATCACAAGCTTTTGGAGTGTAGCCCCTTCATCAGGTGAAGTGAGAGAGAAGCACAGAGATGCAGAATTTATGGGCAGAAGAATCAAAAGATCATACAAATGGTGTGAGTGGAGTGTCGAATGATAAGTCTCTGCAGATGATCAAAAGTGTCAGATGGTGTGAGTAAAGTGTCAATAGCTGAATAACAAGCAAAGGGATGACCTATAATCTGATTAAGTGAGGCAGAGAGATAATTACAAAAAATTAAAAATAGGGTGGTGCTGGAGATAAATTGGTATAACAGTCACATGCCGAGAGTCTAAGCGAAGTAATAAACAATCCAAAACTGTAAAAACTAATTAAAATAGAGAGATATAACAATTTATCCAGTGATGGTGTCAAAACAGGACAGTAAGGAAGATTTTACAGATACATAACAGTGTGGTGGGTTCACATGTAGCGTGACATGAACCCAAGATCACGACTGAGGCCGTCTTCATGGGTACAGAATTTGGCTATCAGTTTCTGCTAGGTGACTCTGTGTTGTTGTGTATCTCGAAGGCTGCCTTGGAGGACGCTTACCTGAAGATCGGGAGCTGAATGTCCTTGACCACTGAGGTGCTCCCCCACTGGGAGGGAACATTCCTGTCTGGTGATTGTTGCGGAGCGTCCATTCATCCTTTGTTGCAGTGTCTGCAAGATCTCATGAATATACCATGCCTAGGGGGCATTCTTGCCTGCAGCATATGAGATAAACAACACTGGCCAAGTCACATGAGTAATTGCCATGTACATGGTGACTGGTGTTCCTACATGTGATGGTAGTGTCCATGTCGATGATCTGACATGTCATGCAGAGATTACCATGGCAGGGTTGTGTGGTGTTGTTATCGATGTTGTCCTGAAGGCTGGGTAGTTTGCTGTGAACAATGGTCTGTTTAACGTTTGGCGGTTGTTTGAAGGCAAGAGGTGGAGGCATAGGGATGATCTTGGTGAGGTGCTCATCGTCATTCATGGTATGTTGGAGGCTGTGAAGAACATGGCATAGTCTCTCTGCTCTGGGCAAGTACTGGATGACAAAGGGTACCCTTTGGTCATATCCTGTGTCTTTGCAGTTTCTCGCTGTGGCACATCAGAACTGGCGATCGATGAGTTGAGCATCGTATCCTTTTCTTATGAGGGAGTCCTTCAAAATCTTTAGGTGTCTGTCGCGTTCGCATCCCCATCCACCACTTCATCTGAACGGATCCTGTGTTTGCACAGGGCGTGTCTGTAGGGAATGGCTTCTTTAACATGTTTAGGGTGGAAGCTAGAGAAGTACAGCAATGTGAGGTTATCTGTGGGCTTGTGGTAGAATGAGGTAATGAGGTGTCTATCCTTGATAGAGATGCATGTGTCCAAGAATGAGACTGATTCTGAAGAGTAGTCTGTGGTAAGTCTGATTGTATGATGGAGCTTGTTGATATCACTACATAGTCGTTTCAGTGATTCCTCGTCATGAATTCAAAGGAAGAAAATGTCATCGATGTATCTGGTGTATAGTGTTGGTTGGAGGTCCTGTGCAGTGAAGAAGTCTCACTTGAAATTGTGCATGAAAATGTTGACATATTGGGGTTCAAATTTGGTTCCATGGCTGTTCTGTATGTCTGGGTAAAGAAATGGCTGTCGAAGGTGAAGATGTTGTGGTTGAGGATGAAGTGGATGAGTTTTAGGATGGCATCTGGAAATTAGTTTGTCTCCAGCACCACGTTATATTTAATTTTTTGTAATTATCTCTATGCCTCATTTAATCAGATTATAGGTCATCCCTTCACTTGTTATTAAGCTGTTGACGCTTTACTCACACCAACCAACATCTTTGATCACCTGTAGAGACTTATTATTTGATATTCCATTCAAACCATTTGTATGATCTTTTGATCTCTCCGTCCATAAATTCTGTGTTCTATGTGCTTCTCTCTCACTTCACCTGACAAAGGGGCTACACTCCAAAAGCATGTGATTTCAAATAAACTTGTTGGACTATAACCTGGTGTTTTGTGACTTCTGACTTTGAAAAATACAATGAGCCATATATTTTGCTGGAGGGATGCTACTGAAATGTCTTTTTAAATTATCGGTAACAGCTCAGTTTGACATTTGGTGGAACTGAAAATATGTTTTTTTGGTTAGAATACAATGTGATAATGTCACTAGTCAGCAATCCTGAACCTAATGATCTGGGGACATGGTTTCAAATCCCACTATGGCTGGTAATGAAAATTTGTATTCAATAAAAATCAGAAAGTAAAAGAGTTGGTTGAATGAAGACCATGTAACCGTTGTTATAAAAGCCTACCTGTTGTTCACAAATGTCTTTCAAGGAAGGAGACCTGCTATCTTTACCTTGTTTGGTCTACATGTGACTGCAGTAATATGATTGATTCTTTAGCTGTCCTTTGCACAACTGGGTGATGGCTTGGCCAGTGACACCCATATCGTATGAATGAATAAGAAAAGTAGGAGAGCTTGGGATGATTAGGGTCCAAAAGCAAGATCAATGGATAGGCACATAGGGCATGGCACTTTCAGTACGATAGTGTTGAACTTCAAGAAAACACAGACAAGCAAATAAATTGTGCAAGAACACTGGTAGATGAAGTTCTGACACAGAGAAGTGTGAAATGACACATTTTAGGAGGAGATAAGTCAATATAAATAAAGGGCACAATTTGAAAGGGAACTGAGGGGCCTGAAGGCATATGACATAGGCTCAACCAGCTGAATAACCTCCTCCTGTGTGATAATTCACCTATGATTCCATGATTCTTTTCACTCGCCTATGTCTGTTCGACTTCCCTTTAAATTTGTCCATGCTCGTTGCTTTTATCATGAAGTTGTAGCATATAAATTATTCATAATTAAACCCATGAATTCATTTACTACCTGGAAACAATCTTAACTAAGCAGAACACTGTGCTTTAAAATGATTGCAGGGGTCAGCTAGCCTGCAAGGGAAACCAAGTTTCTAAAACCCCTTGATGTGAATTAACAATAGACTTGTCTAGGTAGTTCATCCACAGCGTGTCCCACTGGTCATTGTTTGAACTGTCTGGAAAAGCTTAAGTACAATGCACAACAGTTTTAAAAAAAAATGTTCTGAAGAAGGGTCACTGGAGCCAAAATGTTAACTCTTCTTTCTCTCCACAGAAGCTGTCAGACCTGCTGAATTTTTCCAGCAATTTTTTGTTTCTGAATACCAGTCACCTCATTTGTTGAAAATAATTAGAAACAAAGGAAACTCATTGGAGTCGAATAGGCAAAAAGTGTGCTGAAGACTGCCCTCCTGTGTTGAGGGCATCTTGATAACCTTGACAATAAGAGATCAAACGTCCCTCATTAATATGGATGATCTCAGTTTTTTTTGCCATTAGCCATCTGTCACATGATTGCAACATTGTTTGGGAAAATCTAATGTTATAAACCTGTTTATTTGTTATAGAAAGTCAATAACATCAAGAAGGTCTACAGAATGGACTAACAATATCTCTCTTTTTTAGGCTCAGATCAGATCTGTTACAATTTGGAATACATCACAAAGACAGTTTAAAAGTAAATGTCAAGTACCATAACTCCCACTCTGGGAAACTGATTGCAGTTTTAAAAGAGGCTGCCTTAAAAAGAACAGCCAAATTTAAAGCTGCAATGCCACTGGAAAAACCAAACAACTAAAGGAACACAGCAACATGAAATTATTTTTGTCTTACAAACTTTAACTTTAAATTCCATCTCACCATTTAACTTGTTTTGTTTACTTATATGCAGTATGAGAACATTTCATGGGATTTGCGACAATTTTACCTTTTCAAGTAGATATACTTTTAATTGTGTGAGTTTATTTCTTAAAAACAAAACGAACTCTTGCCAACTCAGAATACCTGGCTGGGTTGATTCTTCATTGCTTTATCAATGTTGAAGTATATGATGCATTGAAACAGCACATTTTTTGTAAAAAAAAAGACACTGTTAGACCAACCTTAGGAGTAAAAAGGAAGAAATTTATTCACCCCTCCAGACTTGGTCATTACATGTTGAACACAGCTTGAGGTATAAAGTTCCACATCTTGACCACTCTTAGGGTAAATAAATTTCCGCTGGACTTACCAGCAGCTATCTTTTATTAAATACCATCTGTTTTCTCTCCTTTTTCTATTTATAACTTGTTTCTCATTGGAGGAACAGAACACATTTGATATATCATTTTCCATGAACTCTAACTGGAAATTTTGACACAATACATTAGGCTTCATGAACTGTTGATTCATGAACCTGCCACGCATATTTATTACACCCGCTTTGGAAAAATGAATACGTTGATGCGGCCAAAATACATTTCATTGAAGGCGAAAGAATGCAATGCCACTTTAGTTCCAAATCTTCAAGACTGATGAAATTGTAAATTTAAAAGAATTTCCTGGTTTACGTACATTCTCATTTTTATTTCCACCTTAGTTTCTTGGAAGTGAAACAAATACTATACTCACCAAGGGAATAAAATGTCTACATTGGAAGAAGTAGTCAACAAACTGACATAATTCATCTCACAGCTATTTACATTTGTTCTGAAAGCCATAAATGCATTTTTAGTTGTCCTCTAAACCTCAGAGTTCAAGTAAACAGCAGCTGGTTGTACTTGAAATGAACCATGTCACATGATATTTGCGTAGTAGCAGCACTGAATAAGGATCCTTCAGTCTCACTACTTGCAACATTTTGTGCATATCACCAAGCTCACAGAAGAATGATCCCTTACTAGTTAAGTAAAATTTGATTAAAGTAATGCTATCAAAATGTCAAGAGAATATTAGTAACCCTGAAAATGTTGCAACATTTCTTGCTGTTGAATAAAAGTGGATGAAATAGTTCTGAAATATTTCTCAGTAGCAACGTTAAAATTACTGACTTAAAATTTTCCTCACTTCTTTCTGCAAAACTAAAAAAGGTTACGGAGAGGCGAAAAAAATTGCAACAGGAAAAATAGAAAGAGAAATGAAAAGGAAACAGCCACTGTAGAAAATCTCATCATGGAAGAAATTTTTTTGAAAGCTTTGGCTACATAGATTACACTTATCCTGAAAAATAGCCCTAAACAAGGACAGACTGCCTCTTTGCATTATCAACATTATAAACATACTGGACTAGAAACCTGATGAATCTGTTCCAGTTTTACACCTGGATAAAAATGTTACCAAAGCAAGCAATATGGTAAGAGATGGTGTTACATATTTTGAGGTGGAACTGCATTATCTGTCATATTGCTATAGATATCAAAAAAGATATACAGGACTGCAAAGCTGTATCAGGCTTTAGATTCTTTGTAAAAGCAAATAAGTGGCTTAAAACCCATTGATGTCTCATTTATTGGCTTAGAACATAGAACATAGAACATTACAGCGCAGTACAGGCCCTTCGGCCCTCGATGTTGCACCGACTTGTGAAACCAATCTGAAGCCCATCTAACCTACACTATTCCATTATCATCCATATGTTTATCCAATGACCATTTAAATGCCCTTAAAGTTGGCGAGTCTACTACTTTTGCAGGCAGGGCATTCCACGCCCTTACTACTCTCTGAGTAAAGAACCTACCTCTGACATCTGTCCTATATCTATCACCCCTCAATTTAAAGCTATGTCCCCTCGTGCTAGCCATCACCATCCGAGGAAAAAGGCTCCCACTGTCCACCCTATCTAATCCTCTGATCATCTTGTATGTCTCTATCAAGTCACCTCTTAACCTTCTTCTCTCTAACGAAAACAGCCTCAAAACCCTCAGCCTTTCCTCATAAGACCTTCCCTCCATACCAGGCAACATCCTGGTAAATCTCCTCTGCACCCTTTCCAATGCTTCCACATCCTTCCTATAATACGGTGACCAGAACTGTACGCAATACTCCAAGTGCGGCCGCACCAGAGTTTTGTACAGCTGCAACATGACCTCATGGCTCCGAAACTCAATCCCTCTACCAATAAAACCTAACATACTGTACGCCTTCTTAACAACCCTATCAACCTGGGTGGCAACTTTCAGTGATCTATGCACATGGACACCGAGATCTTTCTGCTCATCCACACTACCAAGAATCTTACCATTAGCCCAGTACTCTGTATTCCTGTTACTCCTTCCAAAGTGAATCACCTCACACTTTTCCACATTAAACTCCATTTGCCACCTCTCAGCCCAGCTCTGCAGCTTATCCATGTCCCTCTGTAACCTGCAACATCCTTCCGCACTATCCACAACTCCACCGACTTTGGTGTCATCCGCAAATTTACTAACTCAGGCTCGATCTGAGCCTGCGACAGGTCCAAATAACAGGTCTGCAGCTGACCAGTATTGGTCCTTAAATGGACCATTGCAGCCCACTACCTGTTGATAAGCTTTTAAACAATAAATGCAATGATTTCAGATATGCTCAAAAATAGAAGATTTGTTTGCCAAATGAAAATAGTTCATGTTGTGACATAATCACTTAAATAAGATGGACATTTTGTCTCACAAGTAAGATATCGTCTGACAGCAGGGATAGAAATGTGGGTCCTCTTCTGTGTGTGTTTGATTGCAGGGGTGCCAGGTTATTAACTTGGAAGGCAGTGGATGGGGACTCAGCCATCTTTCCATCTCCAATCCATGTTAACTCCATGGTGAAAGAGGCCTTGGACCCTGATCCTAAGTCATCCTGATCTTAAGTTAAAAACCAAAAGAACTGCGGATGTTGTAAATGGGGAACAAAAACAAAATTGCTGGAAAAGCTCAGCAGGTCTGGCAGCATCTGTGGAAGAGAAAACAGAGTTAACGTTTCGGGTCCAGTGACCCTTCCTCAGAACCACAGAATCGGGTCACCGGTCCTGAAATGTTAACTCTGTTTTCTCTTCCACAGACGCTGCCAGACCTGCTGAGCTTTTCCAGCAACTTTGTTTTTGTTCCTGATCTTAAGTTAATTGAGGCACTTAAGGGCCTTCATCCCACTGTTGCTGGTATTCACCCAGCAGCAGGTACACAACTTGCCACTAAGAAAACCCTGGCATATTAGCTTCTCTGATCGAAGGTGTATCTCTCATTCAAAGGCATTCAATGCTTGTTTGAAGAAGTTGGCATCAAGATGGAGAAGCCTACTCACACCCTGGCCTTGCTGCTAACAACTTTCACACCAGTAACTGCCAATCCACGAACACCACCCTGCCATCATCATCTGTACCTGGTCTGTCTCTCAATCCAAAATCCCAGGTGAGTACACTCCAAGCAGCAACCACCACCCCTTTGGTAGCTCTGTTGAGCATAGAACAGCTGCTGATTGGTCAGCAGTGGGACCTTGGCCCACATGTCCCTTGACCTCAGAAAAAGCCCACTGCTGACCTGTCAGACGCCTGAATGAAATAAGACACAATGCACCTTCCTCAAAATAGGCAACACGAGAATCCCCGTATCTTTTTAGCTAGCAGCTGAGACCTGCCCTTCCTTCACAAGGTACTGCCTTGATGTGTGGTCTCATTTATCTCATGTTTTTCATCTGAGATGTTGATGTCTGAATTGAATTGAAGGCTTACAAGTGGTGTTTTTAGTGCTTTGAAGGATGACATGTTCCTTATGATGATTTAAAGATGTTCCTGACGGTTATCATTAATTGCATTGTATTGATCAGAACAAATGACTGAATGTTATAGGGGTTGCTTGTGTTCCAACATGACAGTCACTTTATTTTAAAAGCAAAATTAATGAAATGTCAGGATTGCTAGCCTGACTAGCATTTATTGTACACCCTTAATTACACAGAGGGTAGCTCAGTATCAGCCATGTCACTGTGGATCTGGAGTCACGTACAGGCCAAAAAATAATGAGAGATTTCGTTATCTGGACTCCTCATTGAATCAGGTGGGTTTTTACAGCAATCAACAATTGTCACATGATCACCATGAGACTGGCTTTTCAATTTCAAAATTTAAGGTTTCTCTCTGCCATGGTAGGATTTGAACCTATAGCTCAGGCCAATAGTATGGTGTTTTGGATTACCAATCTCCTGACATTAGCACCATGCCACCACCACCTCATCCTAAATCTCCCACGGCACATGTTTCACTCTGTATTTACTTGCAATCGATCCTTCTGTCATCTACCACACCCTTAACATGTGTGAATCATTAGTTTTAGGGGGTAGATCGAGCTGACACTTTCACAGTGGGCATATATGAATAAATGTAGCTGGAGGCTTTCAGCAGTTGGGTAAGTAATAACTATATGTGCAAAACAAGCAATATAGTTCCTTTTAGCATGACTTGCTCTCAGTTATGGCTGTGTTTGTCATTTTTTTAACAGTCATATAAATTTCTCACTTTACCATGAAATTTTGGGTTTTGTGGTGCTGTTATTAACGAATGAAGCCCAGGTAGTTCACAAATTCACTGACATACTCATTGTTGAATGATGTCTAATGTCCGTTTCTATCTTTTGAAGGTCTTTAAACACAAGGAAAATCTTGTCAATCCATGGGATACCTACTTTGGTTGAAGTTAACTATTTTTATGACTAAGAACCTGTTATAGTTGTCGGTGTCACAGGCAGATGTTTTGCCGTTGTGTAAATCTGCAAAATCAATGCCAAACATAATCCTTGATACAGGCAGTAAAACAGACATCTTGAAGTGGATAATTAAGATTTGCCATTGTGGTTGCTTGGCGCGGCAAACAGTGATGGATGTTGTGTCGTAATATGCAGTTCACCATTGGGAATCATACCTTTTCCCAAATGAGTTACGTGCTATAACAACATGATGTTCCCCTAATGATTGCGGAATTATAATACCGTTGTTGCTTAACACAAGATCAGATGCAATTGTAATGGTGAATCCATGTCAGACATTATGAGGAGCTCATAATATGTTAACAATTTCATTTGTAGATGTTCTTTCAATTACATCTTTCTAGTTTTGTGATTCAATGTTGTCATATATAGTTACAAAGCCTCATTCTCCTTGTTGCCATTTTGATATCAGCCAGTTTCAGAGCCTTTCACTCCCTGTTTAAGCTCACACAGTTAAGATGATGTTCAGCAACCTTCTTTTCATAACTATTTATGTAGACTGTCGTAGAAAGATGTTGTGAATGACAGTCAGCCTGGTTGACCTGGCCTTGCTGACACAAAGCATGGAATTTATGCACTTGTATTTTGAATATCCATCCCTCGCTTCAAGAAAATATTTTACCATATAGGTTGTTGAACAAGCATCTTAGTGGATATGATTGCTTATTATTTCAAACCCGCTTTCATACAAATAGAAGTGAAAGTTTAAGATACTGCACTTGTCTGAGAGTGCTCCTATGTAGTTTTTTGAAAAATCTTGCCGTAGAGGTGTTAGATATATGAGTGCCGGTGCAATGACCAATCAGTTATCTGTCTTGTCTTTTTGCATGAGGACTGCAATTAAGACAACTAGCTGAGGTGTTTTACCAGGGTTTATATGGGCATTTGTGCAACTTGCTGAAACTCATTGTTTGACCTGGTGTACAGCTTTTGCCTACTCCCACTTGTTGATGTTTTTTGCCAGTTAGCAACTGGAGACTGACAATGTAGGAAGGTTGGAATGAATTAAATACCATTCACGATGAGTCCT